CCGGGCCCTAAGACTTTTCCTCTTTTATCGCGACCCATCGTTTTACCACCCATTTGTTGACGACCAACTATAAGTGACATATCTTTTTGAACATCGGGCGTATTGTCATGCTTTGATCTCCCGAAACGCTTCAAAGAAGTGTATTTAATCTCTTTCTTTGTTTTATGTTTAGATTTCGAGACAGAGGTACGCCTTTTGTCCGTCCGTATCTTGGTGGAGAGAAGAGTGCTACTCAAGATCACGCTACTATTATCCGAAGGCTTTTTTCTCCTCGATTTGCATCTCGGTTCACCGCAAGGACCCACCTCCGCTTCCATCACAGCAGACGACGTGGCTTCGATCTCCTTCTGTTTCTCTGATTTCTCCTCTTTCTTATCCTCCTTCTTCCTATGTTTGAATGTAGGTGCGACTGTTAAACCTCCCTCCGGTAAAACAGGTATTGCCTCGCGGACGATTCCCAACCGTGGCGGCACAGTGACTGGTCGGGGAGCCGTAGGCGTGTAAGAGGCGAGCTGAGCACGAATATCTTCGGGGGGTTTGACTGGAATGCTACACGGTGCTGTACAAGTAGGAGCTGTCGGTGTTGTCGGTATTGCTTGTACACCCTTCTTCTTTGGTGCCGGCCGTTCCTGTACGGGCATATAATCTTTGTCGATGTCTCTGCCGAAATACGGGCTCTCGGATGGATCCATTAAACCTAGTCCTGGCAATCCTGGCACTTTTCCAATCGAATCCACGAAATCTTGAGCATCCTTGAACGCCCTGATCAAACAATCTATCCCCATGCACGGTGATTTCATACATTTGGCGGCTCCTCTAGGCCACTTGGTATCTTTTCCAGGGCAAATGCAAGTAGGTGTCGCCCCGGTCGTCGTTGGACGAGGTACGCAAGCGTCGAAGATGGCCACCACGTCGTTATCCTTCGACAATGTTTTTCGCAGCGGTACCGAAACCGGCGAACCGGAACAGCTGCAACTGCTCATATCTTTATCCTCACCGCCACCCCCTTCCATTCGAATTTCATTATTTTTATCGCCGTACAAACTGTAATCATTCTCGTAATTGTTCCACCTAAGGCTGGTCGGATCGAGGTATATCTGCTCTACGTCTCCACCACCTTTCAACCTGGTCGGATTGCAACACGTGTGATTTTGTTCGATCGGGAAGTGTAAAGCGTTCACGCAATACGTGTTAAATCGATTTTCCTTGGTAGATTCTATATCGGGAATTTTCATGTTGTAGGAAGATTCTAGCTGCTTTAATTTGTACAAAGCGGACAGACTGTTGTTCACGCAGTAAGTATCGATCAATGGATCTTCGCGTTTGTTCTCTTCGTTGTTGAACAATATATCAGGATTTCTCAATTTTATACAGCAAGGATAAGTGCAACCGGAAGGGCATATCATAGGATGATTTGAACGATCTTTGGGCTGGCAACAGCACGTCGGCTCGTCCGGATAAGCTTTGTATATTAATTCTCGATACTTGGGATCGTTGAGCTTTTCGGCCATGGTCAGGGTCTTAAACGCGGGATCCTCGATCGGAATGCGTAGAGGCGAGTCAGGTCGTTTCAGTATCGGTTTATGCGGATCTTCGTCTTTCTCTTCGTTCTCTTCATCCTTTGTACTTTCTGGATAAATATACGGACACAGAAACTTTCGTAATGGCGAATCCTCTAGCATAAAGGATTTTCCAGCGAGAGAAAATTGTTCGACGATGGAGCTTCCAAAGCACGATAATTTTAGAATTACGGTTATACTACCAGATTCTTTCCCGCTATAATCGATCATACTAAAGGTATCCTTTACCATGCATGGTTTCGATGAATCGTTGAATTTTTTTTGATTATCTACAATTTGTTTACACATACAGGCGGGCAAAGATATTTTCGACGTTCCCAAAAAATCACTCTTCTGCGGGCAATTGACATCTTTGTGATAGACATCCATGTACAACGGTGACCATCTTAAAGCCCTGATAAGGCAGCTAGGCGTTTTGGAAAATAAACACGATTTTCCGTATTTAGAGCTTACGATTGATGATTTCTCGTTATTATCCTGATTATTATCATTAATTTGTGGGACGCTTAACTCACATTCCGGCAAATCTATGAATCTTACGTGAACGATTAAATTTTCAGCATTGATATCCGGTACTTGAGGATTTAAAGTCACTTTATCGATCAATATCTCGAGCATGTAAAGCTGTTCTTCCTTGGATTTCACGGTTTTCCTTTTCTGAGCCATTTTACGTTTTTTTGTCCCGCCAGAATGTTCCACAAGAATTTAGAAAGAAAAATCGCAGACCGCAAAAAAAGCGGGAACTTCTGGTAAGATTTTTACCCGTAACGCGCCATTAATTTTGTAATCGTTTTACGGCCAATAAATGTACGAACCTAACCACGTCAATCGTTTAATTTAATGTGTCTTTTATGATCACCATGGTAACTTGTATTAACAGAACTCCTATACCGGATGATCATTTTTCTATTTCCATAATGAAATCGCGAATCATCTGCCGCGTCCCCTTCCCCTCCCCCTCCCTTTCGGCTTCCTCTCCTTCTTTTTCTTCACCGGTTCTTCCTTCACCTTTTCCTTCACCTCGTCCACCGTCGTTTTCTCCAGAAATTCCGTGATCTCCTTGGCCTCGCCTTCCGGATAATAAGTGGACGGAAGAAGACGTCTGACACAGTACTCCCTTTCCTGCCCGCTATTCCTGAACGTGAAGAATTTGGGATGCAGCTCGTAGTGGGTCATGATCGAACGGCCCAAACACGACAGTCGCATTTCCATTTCCAAAGTTCCCGACGGATTCTCGCCAGGGTCCAACAGATTGAAATTACCTTTCACCATAAACGGTTTCGGCAGATTCTGGGGATCGTTGAGGGCCATCGCCACTTGGTCGCACATGCAGCCGGGCAACGTTATCTCGGTTTCGGCCATGGGGTATGAATCTCCGACGCGATACACGCCGACCTTTATATTCTGCGACTGCAGTTCCGTTACCAGATCCTTCGGTTGTTTTATAAACAGGCAACTTCTGCCCACCATGAAATAAAACGTGCCATCCTCGGTCGGTGGCGGTGGTTTCACCGAATAAAACTCGTTCCTCGTGATTTCGAACACCGAGAAATCGAGAAATTGAACCTTCACCGCTAATGGAAAATCACCGAGATCTTTGATCTTGCCCCTCGTCAGTGTCAACTTGTGGATCAGTATTTCGATTATGTATATCTGCTCGCCGCGACCACCGAAGCAGGACATCTCGAAAATAAAATCGATAGATAGTTTGATGATACTATTTCAAACTTATGGACGGGTGAGGAAGTGGTTAAAGTGGTGGATAATTGGTAAGGGGAAAAAAAAGGAAAAGAAAAGAAAAGGAGAAAGAAACTCGATGTGAAAAATTTTGATACTCGGAATTTGTAGAGAGAGGTTCGGTTTACCGAATGGAAAGTGACAGATCGAGCGTGTAACAATCGAATCACGCGAGCACGATAATTGCACAATAATTGACAACTTTAGTTAATTTAAGCTTATCAATTTTATCTTCGTTCCCTCGGATTCTCTCACCGATCCATCGCGGCCCCAACGGATGACAATTCGTCACGACGAACTCCTCAAATGGGAATCCAAACACCAAAGACTCTCTTCCTGCATCTCGGTTCCGTGTTTATAGATATCCCCGTCATCGGTCCACCGGATAAAAATCTCGTCCACGGCACAGTCACGTACACGCCACGTATCCATCCGCGTATATACGCGACCGTGCAGCGTCTCTAATTCCATTGCCAGTTATTACTTAGCTCCCACAGTGGTGTACGCTTAATCTTGGCGCCGTAAACATCCTGCCAGCACCGTTACGAAAATCCGAAGGAAACCCCCTCGCCTCCGTTCGACCCGTCCCTTTTTTCCCGCTATCCCGCGCGATAATCCCGCTACCCGGGATGTCATTTATCCGAAACACCGGGGGGATATAATCTCAGGTAGCTCCTCTTCACCTTTACCTCGATTCTTAGTCAGTCCGTGACTAATCGCCTCCTATTAGCGAGCAGGGCTCATTGTCTGCGCCCCGTTACGACCTCCAGCCATCCAGGAACCGCGATAATTCCTGCTCTCTTCGAACGGTCTGGAAGCGAGGACGAGACCGTTCGAAACGATTCCGCGATCTCTGTTTCGAACATCGAAATCGACCGGCCACCGTTTAACCCACGCTCGAACACACAAGTATGCGCTAATTGGTACGCGCGCGCATACACACACGCGCGCACGTTAGAGGCTCGAATCGTAACGCGAGGGACGGAGGAAAGAAAGGTGGAAGGGAAACAGGTTAAAGGGAGAGGAGAGATACGGCGAGGGAAGAGATACGGCGAACGTTGCGGGGTCCGAAATCGTCGGTGGACGACTTGGAAGCCGAGCGTCCAGAAGAGTAAAATTCCGGGCCGGGCGACACGGCGGCTCGTTAAAATGCTTGTGGGGGTTTGGGGCGGCCCAGGTAATTGGCGATTAGCGATTAAAACGAACGGCCGTCTCTTTCGTTCTTTTCGGGATCCTCCTCGCCTTCTTTTCCCTCTCCCCCTTTCCCTCTCTTCGCCGTCGCCCTTTTCTTCGTAACGCGCTCGTATAAACCGCCTTTTATCGGTTCACCTTTCGAAAGAGAGAGGAATAGAAGAGGGGAGGATGGTTTCGCGTAGATTGGCCGATTTTATCTTCTACCTGGCAGCGATGACACTCGGCCGTGGCCGTGGTTTTTGAAGATTCTCTCCGGTCGCGGAGAGAAGCGGAGACGAGCGGAATGGCGTCCTTAATCGTGCGACCCGAGGCAACGATGATCGCTTACCGGACGAGATTCGAAGCCATTTCTTGCCCCACCTTCGCCTGGGAATTCTTCGCGCGAACGGTCGACCGGAAATAAATAAATCGAAACCGGGTGGACGCTAATTTGACGCGTATTTAGCCCCGAGAGGAGGCTCGTTAAGCCGAAAATTGGTTATATTCTTCGCTTTTAATTACGTTTTTACGCGATAGCGGTTATTAATTCCCTTGCTGAATTTTAGAACGGGAAAGTTAAAGTTCTTATTTATCGGGTTCGAGTATCGGTACGGCTTTCTTGAACGCCATTTATTTTTAATATCGATGCGAGGCGTGTATACATGCGTTAAGAAAAGGATGCTTCGGATTATATTTCGGAAGAATATTCGGAAGATATATAAATTCGCCAGTTAATTGGTTCGAGGTAAAAACGAATTTTATAAAACCGCCTCGATAATACAGGATGATAAAGTCTTGTTCAAGATTGCATAAGACGGCCATTTTTTCACCTCGTAATCTTAAATGAGATACGGTCTCGGAAAGTAGCTCGATAACACGACGCAATTGTTATAAAATATACGTATGCACGAATCTTTTCAATAAAATCTATAAAATTGGAATAATTATCGATCGTTCCTTCAACGTTTCTCATTTAAATTTCTCACCGCACACACACACACACCGATCGTAGACAGAATAAAGAAATTATATGAAATCGTTGTCCTTGTTACAGTATTAACTCCCGTTAAATCGTGGCGGAAACCGGAGGACGAGCACGCCTGCTATTTATCCAAAGATCCTCTCTTTGTTCGCGGCTCGTCGGAACGATCGACGATCGGAATTATACGGTGAAAACGACCAGGGCCGAGTGAAATTAAATGCCGCGCGACCGTTTAAGGATCGACCATTGTGATTTCCGATTTTTTTCCACGGTAGCGGTCGCTCGAAGTCGGCCAGGTTAATTTGCCTTCCCGCCGATGACCGTTATTTCGGTATTGCTTGAAAGTGGTTACCCTTGTCCGGATCGGGATTAGTCATCGAGCCGATCCGCGATCACCGTGTACACGTAAATGAGTCAACATCATCCTCGAGTCTCTCTCTCTCTCTCTTTCTCTCTCCGAGTTCTTCCTCGATCCGAATATTCTGCGAAAATTTAATTTTTAATGATCCTATGAATATCATCAACCGATTTGGAGTAATATTACGTTACCAATTTCACTGAATTTCATTGAATCCGAACTTTTCGATAATTATAATTCTGAAAAAAAAAAATTCTTTTCGAAATATTTCTACATATTCCACAATTGTGTATCTGAAACTTTGACTGCGATGAATTACCATCTATATCTTCTTCGTTTCTATAAAGCGTCCTGGGTATGTCTGAACACACTGTTTACACGCTAAAAAAAGAAAAGTAATAAGTTATTTTATCTAAATTTTTCAATATTTACATACGCAACTTTCCCCTATGCCTTATTTCACGGCTCGGTCCTTAAAGGTACGAGCATTTCCGCTTAAATACCTGTTCACATACGTTTATCCGATTTACGATCCGTCAAAGCATCGTTTCCTCCGCGATATTCCAAGGCACGTTCATTTATTCAACATCCAGAGGGACGTGTGGCCTCGAAACGAGCCGGTGAAACCTTGATAGCGCGCGAAACAATCCCACGACATTATTTCCTGCAGAGCTCCTCGTTTCGAGTTGTTCTCGAGTAGCCGCGCGCGCGCGCGAACAGCCCGCCGCTTCTACGTACTTGTTACAGTGCTCGCCGTGGAACAGTGTTCCAACTGGCGGGTTCATCGGCAATTTGAATAATTCTCTCTCGAAAGGAACGGTTTCTCATCTCGAATTCGCCTAACGTCCGATGTTTTTGTTGCACCGGCCGGCTCGCTCGCTATTTACCTCGGAATGCGAGTGCTTCTGCTCCACGCCACTTCGTAAATGTTCCATTCCCACGGGGAAAAGTCTGCGAATCACCTCCTGCTTCTATCGATCGATTTCCGTTTTCCAGGTAAAACCTCCATTCATACTGTGTATCCATCCCATTAAAATCCGATGGACATTTACTTTCCACGCGTGGCATCGTTGAATTGATTCCAAGCGTTATCCAAGCGTTTGCATCTATGAATAAGAGAGATATGAGATAGCGATGAAATGTTATGGGTGATCATAGATATACCCAATTTATGTCGCGTCTTTGAATTCGTGTGAAAATCGGCTCGAAGAATTGCGATACTTTTATCTTGTTAATCGTTAAATTTCTTTTCACCCAAACCACCGCGAGAAGGGGCTTAATAGAACTCTCTTCCGAGATATTTCGAGAGAGCACGGACGTGGACGAGAGGGGGGAAAAAAAAGGATACAAGACAACAGAAGCAGACTATCTACTCTGTGGATCTCTTGGCGATCGGAATATCGCGTGCAAACTCCTCGAGGGAGTCTCGCCGGTTAGATCGATCCGGTACGCTCGTCCTTAGCGTGAAGAGCTCTCTTCTCGCGAAACCGGGGAGACCCTCGTCTTCGATTTTCGATGATCTAGATCTGGGTAGCACCAGGAAGCCGGGACCGAAGGCAAAATTACCGGTGCCGGTGGAAGGAGGCCTCGTTCGCTCGCCTCGAGAGGTCAGAGGGCGATAGCGGTACCTTCTTCAGAGCCAAGGAAGGCCTCATCCTCCGGGTCCTACCACCTATCGTGCTAGTGTGCATTGCACGCTCCAGTACGAGCGTTCCCTCCATCTTTCTATACGTATATATACGTGCGCATGCAGATTCTTGTGCACACAATGACGGGGCACAGCACACGCTCGAATGGAACACACGGATCTGCTCATAGAGCGGGAGAAAAGTGGTCGTGCAACGAATGCTAAAGGATGGCCGCCGGCTGCGGACGAGGAGGGCAAGGAGGAAGGCGAGAGGGGAAATGGAGATGGCGGAGAACAAGGAAGAATCAAGCGGGGAGGATATTAGAAGGCACTCTCCCGCGGCGCTAGACGAAATTTGTCAAACAACCCGGCGGGCCCCAATTTGTTCTGCTGCGTATCTTTACCACGTTGAAGGAGCCGTAGGTGGTTCTTCGAGATCCTTTCGCTGCACGATCGGTGGATGATCGTTATTCTTGCTACCATATATCTTATTACTAGCTTATTAAAAGATTACGAGGATTAATTTCGCGTTTCTAATTTCGATTTCGTTTATCAATGTCATGATATTGATTGGTACCTTTGTTCACAGCGAGGAAGACGCGTGCTACCGTGTTGATCGACTTGACTTTTTAATTCAAGATCAAGGTGGTGTCGATTGGGTTGGTAGATACCGGCATCGGTAAAACTTGATATTAAATTTTTGGAGAGGAAGTGATAATCCTTTAAATTTGAAGTTGAAAAATTAAGAATCAATTTGTAAGAAAATAACATCAACCTGGAAGAAGAATCCAGGTAAAGAAATAATATACATACGCAAGCATACGTAACCAGAGGGGCGTAACGCTCCACGTTACTTCAATTTGCATGGTAGCAGGTAATCGCGTTCCCAGAACTAATTTAGCCATATCAGACTGAGGACACGGTCCGTGATCGTGAGCCAGATAACATTGCAGATGATTATCGGACGGTGCGATTTCTTGCTCGCCGGAAACCGTAAGTAAACGCGCTAAGCCCCGCGTCAGATGGCCGCCACAAATTAACAGCGTATTATTTACCGCTTGACACTGTCATAAACCCGTTATATTTTCAGACGTTCATCCGTGTAATCTCATTGTATGATAATCCTTCGCGAAATATAGAGAATAAAAGGAAGAGTTAAAAAAAAGAAAGAAAAAGAATATCATTACGCAATTCATCTCCTTCTGAATCCATTCATAGGCAGAAAGAGTAAGCGCTATGATATACGTGAAACATTATCCAAGAAGAAGATAAGAATTCCCAGATTCTCATTCGATTACGCCACAAATTAACAGAATTAATGAGCAACATCGTGCGACAGATATTATAACGATTCGAGAAAGAATTGTGTTGACAATTTATTTTATGATGCTGCTTTGTAAATCTAGATAAATCCGGATGTGTAACAATCGTTTACGTCAGAAACGCACGAAAAGTGTTATCGGCAAAAATGGACGTGACGGTTCATTCGTCTCAAGGACAATTTATACAACTTCCACTCCGAGGTGAAACTTTCGTCCATTTCGAGATACACGGGTGAACGAACTCTGTAAGTTGTTCCTCTTCTTGTTCAGAGTTTTTAATTAGAGAATTTCTTTCGGCGAAGGATCGTGGTTGAGAAAGCTTCTTTGCCGATCCTTGTACTGCAACTGTCAAGCACGATTGTCTAGGACAGGGAATGGCATTGGTATAACTGTTCAGCTGAAAGAAAGACGAATAGAAAATATTTGAATTTCTTTTAGACGGTTTCGCGTCACTCGATACCACAACTTGCTTCTTACCATCGCGATCCAATTGATTCCTGGAAGGTAACTGTTATGATCTCCACTCGTCGTTACCGCGCTTCTTCGCTATAGATATAGGTTCTATGCTTCTTTTCGAAAGAGCATCGTCGAGATGATTATTTGCTTCACCGGCGATAACCAGTGTCAATTCTTCCGACATCAAAGCTTCCTCGTGTTGAGAAATCTTCCCGATCCCCACATCTCGATCCCAAGGGTCTCGTAATGAGATTAACCTTTTCGAACACTTTTTTTCCATCGAAGAAGTCGTCCATCCAAGAACTTCCGTCGGAGGATGATCAGTCGAGTACCTCGCGTTCTGAAAATTATGCGGCCGCACCGGACCGTGTATGCATGTGCAGCTCGCGTTTAAATCGTGTAAGCTATCGGAAAAGATCGTTACCAGGAACCATAAGAGCTCAGGCCACGTCGGCACGAGACACACGGGGATGAATCTTCAAGAACCGGGTTAGCAACGACCGTTGAGCGGCCAATGAAGTGCAAGCCGGGGATCCAGAGACGAGGCAGTTTGCCGGAGAAAACGGCCCGAGCACCCACTTCCAGAACCTCTAAAACACTTTAAAGGGGAATGAAGCTAGTCGTAAGGGAATATAGACTATCGTTGTACCTGGCGTAACCACAATGCAGCAACTCTTGGAAGCGGCACCATCGGCCTGGTCCCAGCCCTGGAATACCTTATCCATTAGACTATTATTTAGACAATGTCTTAAAGGCCAGTGCGGCTGAACGGCCACGGTCTGTACTTCGCCTGCGGCCAACTTGTAATTTGAAAATTACCGCGGGGTACCCTTCACCCGCGTGAAATTAATATATCCGATGCTTTCGAATTATTTGAACAAATTGCGGTCGAAAGGTACGTGTCCACTTGAGAGTGAAATTATAGCAAGCTCCTCTTGAAAGTATTTATCACGACTGGATATTCAGGGTAATTATCTGAAAAAGAGAATTTTCTAAATTAATTCCGATACAGTTTCGTATTCTGAGAATAACTGTCGCAAGAGTCGATTGATGAAGAGAAATATAATTACAATTTGAATTAATAATAAAGCTTTCGGAATAAAGCCATTGTCCATTTATGAAAAATTTCAAACGTTGCTCTTAAATGAACACACAGTTTGAAAACGCATTTGAGAGCAATCTGAAGAATCTTTCAAATGTGTCTGAAGACTGACTACGATCAAGGATCTCGTGCGTTTTCAAGCTCGTTACGCAACGATAACGGAGCAATGATAATCGATGGTATACATCGATCTATTCGATGTTACAGTTAGAAAGAAGTAGCAGAATCTATGACAAAAATCGTATCGGCATAAATTCCAAAGGCTCGCAGAGTTAATTACAGCCGTGAGTGTTCCTCCTAACGAGGCAACCGTGATGAAGCGTAAATAAAACCGAGGCAGCCGAGAAATTCGCGTAATCCTGTGCGTTGGCCGATGAACGTGCGATTAAATTCCGATTACTAAATAGAAGTGGAACGTAAGGTTAATCGTAGTCAGGAGAAATTAAGTGACTCGACTGTAAAATTGATTCCTATATATATATATACATTGAAATGAATAAACGATTCTTCTCTCTCCATCAAGTTATACCACTCGTCGCGTACACGCCGTATATACAACGTTCGCGGGACATGATTAAGCTCTTCCGATCGCTGAGGTCGTGATCACGAGTCGGCCGATGTACGTATGCGCTCGACTCGAAAATCAGGGCAAGCCGCTTCTTCTCGCGGGAACGTCGCGAACCTACGTCGATATCACGAGCGGAGCGCATCGTCTTCTCCTACATTCCCAAGGAAGGTAGAGAGGAATCCGTTTTCACGTTGTCAACCTTCGATCGAACATCCCGACCGGCGATAACCCAAATCTATCCGGCCAGAGATGCATCTATCCAGCGGATGAAGTTAAGCCGTTGGAAACTCCCATTGATCACCGTGTTGGGTTCGCTTAACGAGAGTGACTAAGAATAGACGACTCGGGGTACCTTGGACAACGGGGACGAGAGGAGAGTGGCAACAAGACGGCGGTGGAGTGAAGAGACGGAGAAGAGCGAGTAGGCAAAGGGAGCCGGGTTAGGTAAAGCACAAAGGTAAGAGAGAAGGGAGGTAAAAATGTTTGGAGAAAAAGAAAAGGAAGCAGGGATGGAGGTGGAGGGAAGAAGGAGAAGGATGGAGAGCGGCGAAGGAGTCGAAAGAAACAGGAGGAGAAAGAACGAAGAGGCGGGAAGGGAAGAGGGAGTGGACCACGTTGAGGTCGCGACCTGTAGCCCGCAGGCCCCAGTGAAAGGCCCAACGGCGATCCGCATCCGCGGGGCCCTGAGCGATCGAGACGGCTAGCCTTACGAGAGAGCGAGCGAAACCGAGACGGACGGCGAGCCCTGTGCTAAGGCACCGTGAGCCGTTTCTTAAGATCGCGTTCTTCTTAGCGAGCCCACTGCCATTATGGCGCACTTAAAGTGGCAATCGTGTGGAAGGCAGCACCGCCGCGCAATAGCCACGAGTTGCGCAACCTTCGGTGACCCCACCCTGCGAAACCGAACCGTGAATCGAGTTCGATGAAGAAGCAAGTGGTTCTACGCTCGATAACTAATAAATCGTTGATAACTAGCTGGATGGCGACGAGTGGATATGTTGAACCAGAACATCTGTAAGTACAATGACGTGGATAATATATGAATTTGAAGAAAAGGAAATGAGTAAGGAATTGTACTTACTTATTCATTGTTTTTAAAGATAGAATTGCATTGGTTACTGGTTAATTATTATTAGTAGTGTTATTACAATGTTTTATTGTAATTTTTACTGCAAAATAATATATATTAATATCATGTTGTATGGTATAATGCAAAAAAATGTAAAAAGCAAAAGTAATTAATCAATAACAAAACTTACTTTTCTGTCTAAAATGCTTGCTTTGCTTTTCTCGATATTATTCGATTTGTAATAGAGTATTGGATAGGAACCTTCTGTACAGATATCCCTTATGCTCTTCATCGCAGTCAAGTTTCTCTCGGTGGCTGGGGGTCCCAACAATCACGGATACAGCTCTGATCGAACGATAATTGGATAGATTACGCGGAACCTCCTCCAACTCCGATAGCATCTCGTTTATGCGCCCGTTTTATGTGTTATACTGCCTGTGGTCCTCCATAACGTATACTTGGCTACAATACGTTCACGTTGGCCCAGTACCTGTAAACACGATACAGTGGTTGGTATGGGAATTTTTTCCTCGTTTGTTAATGCTTAAGAACCATGGAAAATAATCGTTAACTACTTAACTTCCGATTCAGCTCGCTGCTTTTGGCACTTCTACTTTCTCGTTCATCACGAGAAACATTTTTTGATTATTATATATTTAGACTGTAACAAAATGTAAGTAGATCGATCACTCATATGAAGCTAATTGAAAAAACTTTCGTGCAACACGCGAATTTAATTAAGTTTCATTAAAAAGTTTCGAATGAAAGATTTCCTTAGTTATTTCTATAAATATTTGGAAAGTACATGTTAATACTTTGTTTATTTGTAATTAATATTCTACGTATTATGTTCTATACACGAATAAGAAAATATTTAAGAATATTCAAAAAACAAGGTACTTTGGCACGAAATAAAACGTAGCATACGATTAAAAATACACAGATTCTTCGGAATAATTCGTGCGAAATAGTAATTTTAATTTTAGCGATAAGAAAACCAACCATTCCGTTGCATTCGAGTCAAGACTCGTGAAAACTCGTGGAGAAGGTGTGATCACGCGATCGCATAAAATTTCAGCTGCCGTATCCTACGACTTAGACACAGTTGTCTGCAACAGCCATGAATCTTCGTGAAATTCTAGAACTTTTAATGTTCCTATTTTCATAGTCGATGTATATCCGATACGATGAACATCTATCTAAAACTAGCCTATCTAAAACTTCGAGAAAGAAAGAAAATAAGATTTAAAATACGAATCGAAAACATCAGGACGATCAAGATCAAGGTTACGTAACTAAAACAGGTCATTTGTTCGACTAGGTGCTAGTTTCCATTAGTTTGCGATAAAATCGAGGTGATGCGGAATCGATCATGCGCACGAATGAACGCGGACAAGAAAAGAAATCTTCTTGTGAAAAAGCAGGGATTGTTTGCTATAGGCTAAGGTAATAATGCGATCATTGATTCGAGCGACCGCGAACTGATTTTTATCCATCAATATAGAGACCAACGACTTCAGTCATAGATTTTATAGTTAATAATTAAATCCTTATAGTTAATTATACGATATTGATCAATAATGAGTTGAAATAACATTGAATGATTAAAATAGAAATATGATAATTACCAGTTGTCTGATGTTTGGCAGGTTATGTATATCTATTCAAGAAGGAACCGAAGTTTGCCACCAAACGTTCGATAGATCAGTATAATCGATTCTCGTCTTGCATCTAATTCTTGCTTGTTCAGTGTGATTCGATTAAATCAATGGTTTCAATTACACGGTAGTGTTAGGTTTTAATTAGTGGTCTAGAAGATGTGAAGTGAAAGATAGTATAAACTACCTGTATACAATAGGTTTATCTTTACATAATTCAATCAGTGAAACGTGTCAACAAAGTTTTAAATCAAGATAGACTTGTCGATTCGAGTGAAACATCAATTGGCTGCCATCATCGAAGCAAATCTTTGAAGAGTGTAAAAATGTAAGTATTTTTATTCATGCTATAGTAAAGCCGAGTTTATATTAATTATTTTAACTCGTTCAAAATCTATATTTCAATCGAATGAAATAAACTTTTGATCATTTATTTAAAATTGTCCATTTTTCTATATTAAATATTAATATATCTATCCGATGGCGCCAACTATAGTTGATCATACGAACAATTCATTGCAATTATCAATATGGCTGAACCGTTATACAATATGGCTAATCGTCTAATGGTGTCCATTACTCATTAATCGTATAAATAATTCAAGTTTATTCATACATGAAAAAACTTTTAACCAATTAAATGCGGTTTAATGTGATCGATCGATTAGATAACTAATAAATTTCGGGTCATTCGGACGAAAGAATCAGTAATTTTTCGAACAGTAATTACGCATCACGTTTCTTTCTTTCTCATCTCGGTGAGCAATAATGTTTCGGTGGTTTGGCGCGAAATCGTGTAAACTGGAACGATCCAACACACATTGGAGAAAAAGAAGCAACGTACGAAAAAGCGATAAGAACCGCCATGATTCCTAGCCGAGCTTGGAACCAGTGTTCTGACTGTGGGAAAACGATCGACTCGAACGGTGAAAGAAGGTTCGTGGACGTCGTAAAAAGCGTTAAACTCGTGATTAGACGCGGATTCGCGCATGCCCTTGCTCGCGTCTGATTCCTCTTTGTATCCAACCCACCATCGTCGTCGATATCCCGGCATCGATCGTTTCTTCTTCTTTCACGCGTTTTTCGCGACCGCCCTCAAGATCGGTGATACCCGATTCTCCCCTGGCACGAGTTCGGTCCACGTTCACGTCGCTTCGAAAAAAAGGAGACGAGGTTGGAGAACGATTTTCGAGCCGTTCAACCCGATCCGCAAACCGTGACCATCCTTAACAGGTTTGATTTAACGCTTCTTTCGTGCGTACAATCAGTTTCGAATGTAATTCCGATCTCTGCCAGCAATTTTTAGTTCCCATTAGTCGATTTCTAGATATTTTTGTATAATTACGTGACTGTCGGCCGAGTTGAGCTTTCTCGATTAACACATTCAACGCGGTAATAAAAATCGAAGCGGATCTCCAGATATCGGCGGATATTATTTTTTGATAAAAAATAATTGTAAAACGAAATGAGAAATGCAACAAAATTCAAAATAATGTGTGCATACCTGTACTTGTATGCGAAACGATACATGAAAACTTTTTTTTATTTTTTACATATTTTGTTCATGACGCGTTGAATGTGTTAAAAGTAAAGATATTTATACGTGATTAGGAATACCATCGCAGGATAAAAACTGTGTCCGAAGAAATTGCGAGTCCCACGGAAATTCAAGTGTTCTGGATGAAAGATTTTGCGATCGATTGATCGTTACCATGAATATCCCGCACGGGGAACGTAACGCAAGCAAATTGGAGATATTTTTTTGTAGCCTCGTTCCGTTCGTACGAGGATGGCTACAAAATATCGAATTAATAGCGACAGACTCGTGTTTAGTATCGGTGATTGTAATTTAGTGGTCCAGTAATGAAAGACACAGCGGGAGCACGCTGCTCGATGGAAGCACACTGTTAATTGCTGATCAAAAGTAGGAAATAGAATCGTGTCTGAACGATTCCACGGATCATTAAGTGCGAACTGTGTCGTGTAAGATATTCAATATCCTCTCGGTCCTCGACTCGCGCGTCCTCGACTTCCGCAAATAAGCTTCGCGAGTAGAGATTTATCCCAAAGGGAAGACGCGATTTGTAGTATCTTGTATTATGTTCGATAAGGAATACAACTATTGGGAGAGTTCAAATGTCGTTAAACTTGAAGGATCAACACATTGATAACGAAAGACTGTTGTAAAACATGGAATCGTTTTAACGATTGCGAATAAATCTCTTCGAGTACTGAAGAATTCACTTATCCAAGATTCCAAGTATAGAATCAATAAAGAATTTGTTCGTTAGATTAAATTAATATCACATCACTTATCTTAAATTCTAGAATTTATTCGTTAAAAGGAAACCGTCATCTGACATTTTCTCACATTGTGCTTAATAGAATTTGTACCAATCTCACAGTTTCACGGATGAGTCTCGATTTAATATTTTTCACGTGGACAATAAAAAGCTGGACTGTATTTGAGAAATTTATCGCGCGTGCTTACACGGTGGGTAGTCGAGGTGAGAAAAGGAGCGCGTAGCCAGCCAGGGGTACGGGGGAAAAAAGACGGAACAAGTAGTCTGAAGCACGTAGCGTGACCCAAACCCGTGACAAATTCATCGTGTCACGCCGTCTCACGTGTTCCAGGGATCGTGGACCACCGTTGAGACCGTAGAACGCAACGCAATCGTGACTCTCGTCATTGATACAATTTAGAAACGCGATCATTAACGCTCCATTCGTTAACGTATCCGATCACGCGTGACTTTCTTTTTTCACACATTTCGATTAATTTTCAAATTTACAATTTAATTAGCAGAAAATTAACTCGAGTCAAAAATCCAAAAGATCATTGAGATTTTCCCTTACATAGATATCGACACACGATTTTCCTTCGACTCGATCTCGAATTTGTTTCTCGTTCTTTCTGCTTTCTCTGAAACATCGAAGATCCTGTTCGACTCATCTTCCTCCGTTAATCATGCATCGTCCCTAAATGGTCTTCCACAACGGTTGCACCAGGCCTCCATTCGAACTTTATCTTCCTCCAATATCATCCAACACGTCACCCATCGATCAGTCGATCTCTCGTCGGATCTGAGAGCCGTACATGTAGTAGTTCGTTTCATGCTGACTCCTTTCCAAATTCTAGATTCGCAGATTATCATTCGTCGGCCAATTCGTAAATAACCATCTTTAATGTTGTATCGTTAATATTTTCGAATTCGAAATTTGAACGAAAATAGAAATATTTGATGGAAGAAATACCGAGGTAAGAGAAGGGTATACAGGATCGATACGTCACAGCAGGGTTCGTCAGATAGCATCTTAGTTAACATCCTCGACGTAGATGATATCTGCGTAGCTCAAAGCCACACGAGCCAGTCTCGTCCACTTATCGATTCAATATTCACAAAGCTAAACTTTTGAATATTACACACGAATTTATCGACTCTTCTTCGCGTATAGATTTTTGTTTTATTCTATCCATGGTGTAACAGGATGAGTTCAATGAGAGAAAATAGGATGATCATCGTTAAATTTTAATATACACGTGTGGATGATGTAGATAAAGAGTGTTCGAAAGAATGCAAGGAATGAATTTGATGAAACGATTAAATGAAAATATAAGCAGGCTCTTGTTATCCATTCATTATCATTCCTTCATGGTTGTTAGGAAATTTTATCACAATTTTATATGTATTCATCTTGTTGAGGATCTTGTTGGACGCGTTCCTTCATCCCCTTAATTCAAAATTCTCGACATGATTAAGTTAGGTTAATATCTGTGGATAACTCGTAACTTACACGTTTTCCACTTTCATAAAGACCGCTCCCGTTGTTATCTCATTTCCTGCAGTTTCTATTTATATCCAACACACATTTATTAAATCTTGGGAATTAATCGCGAGGAAAACACGCGAAACTAAAAAGACGGAAGCCGGCCAGCCGCATCTGATAATTCGTTGCGCCATCCGCCATTTTGACCTCTCTTCGTGTGGGTATTTCGCATTCCCTGAAATGTGTCTTGCCATTGTCTTCGAACGTGGTTATTAAGATATGTTTACAAGTCGTAATACACACCATGGAAACGAGTGGTTAAATAAAAAAAAAAAATTTCTTTTTCTCTCTCTATCCATCTCTCGATCTGATTTCGTTCAATTTTAAATTAGAATCTCATGGATAAAAATTCACAAAAGACACTTTATCACACATTATATAAATTCTCGAATACTTACGGATAATTGTTAAATTTTTGTACGCAATTTTTATCCCAACATCTTAACATTTTTAAAATTTTAAAACCGTACTGGTTCACGTACTTTATCTCTCGACTCATTGTGACGTCTCGCGGCACATGTTACGGGACTTTCGAAACACTTCCGCGCGTTCGACGAGTTTGCTAATTCTGCCCCCATTTTTCACCGTTTTTTAACAACGACACAGATATCGATTGCTGAGATTTCTCACCGGACTGTATATACCCGATCAAATCGTTTCGTAACGCGGAGGATTCACAACGAGTGAATCGTACGCTTGAATCAATTTCGTCATCCGATGCCAAGTCCGGCATCTGGAAAAGTTGCAACAACCGGAGCCAGGGCATTCCGGCGTCCCAGACAATTACGGGCATCGATCGCCTCGGTTACGCCTACGATCGTTCTCGTTACAAAATCATCGGTCAGAGAGATTAACAAAGGGTTCGGAAACTGTTTTATCTGTTCCCGATCTCGGGGCAATAAAAGTCCGTCGAGGGTGCCCCCTCCTCCCCCCCCTTCGAGATAGAGGAGAAAATCTCGGCGATATCCAGCCTCTCTGATTAAAGTAATCTCTTATTGTGGGAACACGAGATTTTTGCCACGATCTTATTCTATTACGTGCAACAGAATTCCAAAAATATTTTTCAATTCGAAAATAAGTATGGGCTCTTCGTTTGCATAAGTATTTTCATCAGTGTGCTTATATAAAATCAATATCCATTAGGGAGAGGGATTCGTTTCGATTTTTAATATATTTAAGTTTGAATTTTTTTATTGTTTTTCCATAATGGATAAAAATAGATAGAAAGTATCGTGTCGATCATTGTCTTTTCGCCGTGCTAGACATGGATCGTCAATCTGATCCCTTGTATCAAATCTTGAACTAATCCTTTTATATTTATGTGTCATCGTGTCTCGAGTTGGATATGAAACGATCACCGATCGAAAATTAACGGAACGGATCCGGCACGGCCACGCTCTCGATCCGATAATAGGATCGTTACGTAAAAATACCTTCCTTTCTCTTCTTCTCTCGTCGAGCTTTAAAAATGGTATCGTTGTGTATATAAATTATGCATAT